AGAAAATTGTCGAAGATTTGTTGGGAGAGAATTTTCCTGGTATGATGAAAGATGAGAATATATCCATTCAGGAAGTCCAATGAACCCCAAACAGGATAGATCCCAAAAGAAAATCACCCAGACATATCATCATCAAACTGACCAAAACCAAAGACAAAGAAAGAATCATGAGAGTAGCACGGGAAAAACAAAAAGTTACCTATAAGGGGCAACCAGTAAGACTAAGCTCGGATTTCTCAGCAGAAATCATGCAGGTGAGAAGACAGTGGGATGGTATATAGAAAACATTGAAAGAGAAAAATTCCCAACCAAGAAATATGTACTCAGCAAAGTTGTCCCTCAGATATAATGGTGAAATTAGGACATTTCCAGATCAGCAGAAATTAAGGGAATTTGTTAAAACCAGACCAACCTTACAAGAGATGCTAAAGGGAGCCTTTTGGACAGAGAAGCGACAACAGCCAACAACTGACCATGAACACACATGATGGTATAACCCAAAAACCAACCCAGCTATGGAAGTATCCAAAGTAAAGAAGCCTACAAGGCTGTAAACAGGGAACCAGGGACATCAATTGACAAATGAAGACAACTACAATCCAAAAAGAGGGAAAAATCTGTGTCATTACAGAACTTAGAGGGAAAAAACTGTGTCATTATAGAATTTCTAGATGGTAGAGAAGTCAAGACAACTACAAGACAGAACGGACTGTTCTAACCATGGGAAGAAAACTATAAATCACAAGGTAACCTCAAAGAAAAATGATAAACCTTCACATCAAAAAAGAGGACCAGCATAAATATTCAGCAAATACTAAGACAAGAGCAATGAAGGAAGTAATAACACGATTCAAATACTAAGACAAGAGCAATGAAGGAAGTAATAAACAACACAAGCTCAGCATAGAAAATTATATGGAACAAAGAATCGACACCACGAAAAAGCACATAACAAAAATGACAGCAACAAATTCATATTTGCCAATAATTACATATCTGGCAAAAGACTTATTTCTAAGAGTTATAGTGGAAGAGTGGATGACCAAACCAAGCTACATACACATAATGGAATGCTATGGGAGCTCTGGTAGCATAGTGCCTAAGGCACTTGATTGCTAACTAGAAAGCTGGCGGTTCAGACCCACCAGCCACTCCTCAGAAGGAAGGTTGGGCAATCTACTTCTGCAGTGATACTGCCTCGGCAACCCAAGGAGGGGCCGCTATGAGCCGGGTCCAACTCGATGGCACATAACAACAACAACATGCAGCACTAAAGAATAATGTAAAGTCTGCAAAACACCACATAATATGGATGAACTTGGAGGACATTATGCTGAGTGAAATAAGTCAATCACAGAAGGACTAATACAGTATTAGTTCGTTGTTGTGGAAGGTCAAGGAAAGGTTTATATATGGAGGGAAACTCTTTGTTGATTGCCAGGGGGAGGAGGGGAGGAGAGGGAACACTGCAAAAAAAAAAAAGCATTGACCCATGTCACTTTAGTTTTGTGTACTTCACTGTACATAATTATATTTCAATAAAATGCATTTAAAAAAGAAGGTAAATAAGTACTATTACATACACAATTCTCCAATAGCAGTAATAAGAAACAATAATTTACGAGGGGACACATCGGTAGATATGTAAACTGAACAGGTGTGGGATGACATATCAGAGTACACCCAAGAGTTCAGCACAGGTTATTTCTACATACGTACCTGTATGTGCTGCAAACAGATTCATGTATATACAGTAGAACAAAATTATGAAAACTTCTTAGCCATAACCAAAAACCACAGGGATTGAGGCACTAAACTTGGGACCACAGTCTCAGGGGAGCACCTAGGACAAATAGTTCTAACGTCCTTAAAGACAATGTTCCACGTTTTTGATTAAGTAGCAACTGGAGTCTTTAAAGCTTAAGAGCGGCCCTCTAGGAAGCAAATATTAGGCTCTTCCTGGCCGGAGCAAAGAAGAGTAAAGACAATTAAAGGCTCAAGGAAACAATTAGTCCAAGGACTAATGGCCCACCCATACCACAGCCTCCACTAGCTTCAGACCAGGACTGCTCTGATTATGATCACAATAGAAGGTCATGGAAAGAATGAGAGAAAAATGTAGAACAAAATTCAAAATTATTAAAAAAAAGACCAGACTTACTGGGCTGATAGAGACTGGTGGAACTCCCAAGACTAAACCTTTAGATGCCCTTCAAACCTGGAACTCCCAGAAGACATCGCCTTTCAAACAACAGACAGGTATGGGAAGTGAACAACAACTCCCAAGAGGAAGGTGCTCCTCAGAACAATCAACCATACCAGAAAAAAAGGCAGCATTTACCCAAAAACAAAGCTCAGAAGGCAGATAAGGAAGACAAATGGAAATAGGGCAATCAGGGAGGAAGTATGAAGAGTGCTGTTACCTTGCCGGGATTGCAACTAACGTCAAGAAACAAAACTTGTAAAAATCATTAAATGGGAAACTAATTTGCTCTGTAAACTTTCACCCAAATCACAATAAAACGCCTCCCTCCTCCGCAAAAAAAAAAAAATAAAGAAAAGCTGCATTTTTAAAGTTTTCTAGGAGTATGAGAGACCTGGTGGCACAGTGGTTAAAGGGCTTAACTGTTGATGCAAAGGTCCGAAGTTTGAATTCATCACTTACAGAGGATGTAGCAGTCTGCCTCTATAAATAGATTTATAGCCTTGGACACTCTATTGAGCAGTTCTACCCTGTTCTATAGGAGCTCTGCTAGCGTAGTGCCTAAGGCACTTGACTGCTAACCAGAAGACTGGCGGTTCAAACCCACCATCTACTCCTCCGAAGGAAGATGGGTCAATCTACTTCTGTCGTGATACTGCCTCGGAAACACAAGGAGGGGTCGCTATGAGTCGTAGCCGACTCCACAGCACATAACAACTCTGTTCTATAGGGTCGTTATGAGTTGGAATAGACTGGACAGCAGTGGGGTTTTTTAGCAGCGTTGTTTTGAAAGACGCACTGAAAGAAGAAAACCCTCTAGAGCACTCCCAAGAAGTAGGGCAAAGAATTTTTAAAGACGAAATTTTCTTTTTTCAAAAAGTGTCTAAACAGGGCCCTGCAATCAAAGTTCTAATCATTAGGGAATTTTTCTCTTTTTTTAATGTCCCACTTGACAAAAACTCATCCCAAGGGGATGAATGTTCAGATGCCCTCAACCCCAAATGTTGGCTGGGAGACTGCTGCTCTCTAGGAGTTGTAATCGCCAAAATAATTAATCCGGTCACTGTAATCACTACATTACATGGAAACTAGGCAACCAGTGGCCCTTGGGAGAACACATTCTGGTTCTGCCGACTACCTTTTCTCCCGGCAGGAAGGCCCAATCCCAGCCCGGCAGTAGGGGCGCGGGTCCGCCAGGTCCTCACAGCGGCGCGCTCGACGGAGGATTAAACCGCAGAGCGCGTGCGGGTGGAATTAAAGGGAAGCCATTTCTACGGATTCCTGTTCGCCTGGGCGTTCGGCCCCTACCATCTGGTTGGGCTGGGCCTGGCCTGCCCGCGGCGCCGGACCCTCGTCAACCCACCCGCGCGCTCCGGCTGTCCGGAATTCCTTAACGCGTCCATTTACCTGCGCGGCCACCAGCCTCTTTCAGTACCCTATGCGTACTACTGTGGCGACGAAAGCCGCTCTCCCAGCCTCGCCCCGCCCTGCGCCGCGCACCAGAGGGGAGGCGGGGCCGCGGGGAGACGCGGGCGCCAGTCACTTCCTCTGACGACTCACACCTATGGCTGACTGGCCTGGGTCGGTGTTCCCTGGCCGCCAGGCACGGGTTCCCGGGGCCTCTCGTAAGGCCGCAGGTAGGAACAAGGGTCTCTTGCCAAGTGTGGTCCCTATGACCTGAGCCCCGACAGAGTTCTACACCGAGGCTCTGGGCGTTCGTGAAGGGCTGCCGGTAAGGGAGAGTGTTAGGATAGGGAGACCCAGAGCCTCCCACTCACATCTTCGCACTTCCTGGGTGTGGTGGTTATGTTGTGTGTCTACTTGGCTGGGCCTGGTTAAGTGGCTGGGCAGCTGGTGGTAGTTAATCCCCATGAGGAGACTGGCAATCAACTCCATGGTGGGATCTACTACAAGCAGCTAAGTAGCTGCCTTTGGGATGTGGTCTGCTGCCTGTATATAAGGAGAAGCCTTGGGAATGGTATCTAGCCCATGGCAAGCTTGGACGCTGCATGTAGCCGTGTGGTTGCTCAGCAGCTTGGTATGCTCTGCTGACCTTGGGACTTACAATGGACTTTAGTTAATGGCCTGCCATGTGGTTTGGGACTGTGCCTTTTTACTTGTCAACCTTGGGGCTTCTTAGCCCCAGCAGCCAGCAGCTGTCTGAGTGAAGAAACACCCCTAGCTCCAGTGGGCTGGGAGCAGGAGGCAGAGCTGGACCCCGAGGTTGAGGGGCTTTCACCCAGCCCCTAGAGCCTGGCACTTTGAACTTGGACTTAAAGCCTCCAAACTGTAAGAATAAACTCCTGTTTGTTAAGGC